TACCCATATAGGCACCCCTTTAAGGCCTAAGTACGTACTATATGGGTGCATGGAGCCTTAGGGTTAGGTAAACCCCTGAGCCCTCTATCCCGAAGCCATTCCCAGACTCTCCAACTTCCTTCTAATAGACCTTAAATACCCACTATCAAGGACCATAAGGGCTCTATTCAAGGGCACTTTGGGGGGGGGGTCCTAAAGCGCGAAAACCTGAACCCTAAAACCCTAAACCCTAAAACCCTAAACTTTAACACCTTCAAACCCTAAACCTAAAACCCTAAAGCCCTAAAACCCTAAACCCCTAAAGCCCTAACCCAAAAACCCTAAAGCCCTAAACTCTACCTTAACCCAAAATACTCACCTTTTTGAGGACTTATATAAAGAAGTCATATTAGGAACCCTAGAACAGGTAGGTTCCTTAGGGTCCAGGTAAACCCTAAAACCCTAAGCGGCAAGGCTGCAGCTGATGCAGAATGAGCTCCAGCCGGCACCTGCATCGCTTCTTGGCGTTCTTCCGGTTGGCTCTTAGGACTTTCACTTCCCCTAGGCATCTACGGACTCATGTATTAAGCCTTTTGGGCCCAAAGAGCATATTATATAAGGCTTTTGGGCTATTTTGATGCCTAGGGTTCTTGGGTTTCTATATGGGCTCTAATAAGGAGGCAAAAAGTTTAACTTTTAGGAGGGGTTCAGACGTCGGCCAAGGCTTAATATCAACGGCGTCAATGAAGTCGCTGTGAAAGAATCGGATCCAGGACCCATGTCGCAGCGGGTTTTGTTGTAAGGCCCAGAGGGTCCAAGTACCCAAATAGTAGGGATTCAGGTCCCAAAATCCATACTCCGAATGGTTTTTGGACCTTGAAACCCTCCTATTTGGGTACTTGGACCCTTATGGAGGATGTTGAAAAGGGGTGGGGTTACAAGGAATTGCTCAAGTGAGTCTCAGCTAGGTCTCGATTTGGGATATGTTCTACTTCCCCTGATTGGTTAATATAGAGCCCTAATTAGAAAGGTTTGGGGGACTGCTGACATCGACACCTGGTTAAGTAGTTTCGATGTTGGTTACAAAAGTTGTGTGCTGTAACGGTAGACCAGGGGCGGCCCCGATAGTTGTGTTCATCCTGGACATGACCTTCATGCGGCCGGTGATGATGTTGTTTGTCACGATGATGGCGATGTTCACGATGCTGCTGATGATGGTGATGATGATGACGATCGATGATGATGATCGCGACAAGGGCTCTTGTGATGGTCGCACCAGTGTTGCAACGCACATCCACCTGCAATTTTGCTCCCATCATCACTCAGACTTATTCCCAGCATCAGCTGCATTCTTCATCCCACAAGGTGAACATCATTCATGATTAGCATTAGCTGGCCCGGCAATGACAGTTGTGATGCTGACACAGTAGCAAGAAGATACGGTTCATAGCAGTCGCAACAGCAACAGTACCACGAGGATAGCCACAATGAGAAAGACCTCGATCGTGCTAGAGCTAGTACTTGGAGGATCATGGGACTTAGTAAGTAAGGTTATAAGGACCCTTAATTGGCGTTATAAGTATAGTTACCCTGATTATAACCCCAGTTACTATGTCCCATGATCCTTTAAGTAGTGGTGATACCCGGAGAGATCAAGGGTTCTTCTACGTTGAAGGCACCCGGCGTTCTTTGTAGGGAACTAGAACAGCCCTATTGACGACCGTCAAGGCCACAGACTGCATTGTGTATATGCAAATGTATGTATGTATAAATATATGTGTATATATATATATACATACATACATATATATATATATATATATATATATATTCATTTATATGCACATATTCTTAACATGTGCATGTGCATATATATATATATATATACGCATGTGTATATATATATATATATGTATATGTGTTAATCCTTTGGCTTGAGTGGCTTAGCCCTGAGGTTCAAGGTTGCGGGCACCACCAGCATTAGGTTGTCTTATTGGGGATTAACCCCATCTTCTACACCGTAACTTTAAAGCCAGCACCACGAAGCCTACGTCCAGATTGGTGTCGCAGGACTTGCCTTCAAAACGTTCGAAGTGAAGCTTTCTTCTCAGTGACGGAGAGGCTTTGGGTGTACATGAGGTTTAGGAGTCAGGGTTCAGGAGTTTGGGGCTTCACATGCGGCTTAGGGTTTAGGCTGGAGTCCTTGCCGTAACTTTAGCTGATGAACACCAGAATCAGGATTTCCTACGGTTCGAAGTACAGCAAAGCACTGTTCCCCCAAACCGCAGACCCCAATGTCTAGCCTACAACAGTTGCTTGGATCACGAGTACGAGTAAAGATTTGCATGCGCCTGCCGTGTCCTTAGAGTTGGCTGTTGGTATTGTCATAGAAGGATCAGAAGATCGAACCTCTTTTGAGGCTGAGAGCTTGCTCCCGGTACCTTATAAGTACTTCTTTCAACATTCATGCAGCAGCTTGAGTTGTAAAAGCATGAGCAGGGACGCCTAAATTTAGTTCAAGACAAAGCTTCAGTGACTCCGACTGCGGGCACGATGACAAAGACGAGGACGACACCGAAAGGAGGACCACCCCTATCACAGAATGTATGTGTGCACAAAGCAAGAGTCATCATTGGATAACGAGTAACCTTTTTGATTGGCTGTTCGAGTAGTGGAGCGGCCGCGTGTCTGCTTCCATGGCTTTTGAGAAGAGTATCTTATCGTCCTGTATCTAACTTGTGTCCCTCAGCTCTAAGCCCTTGAAGCCTAAACACCTCAAGCCCTAAACCCCGCAAATCCTCAACCCAAACCCCTATACCGAGGCCCATATGGGCGGTTGTCAGAATTCGGGTCCCTTGTGGGCTCCTTATTATGATACGGCACCTGTCATTTCGGGTACCCAAAGAGGCACCACATTTTTGACAACCGCCCGTATGCAAGGCTTCCCAGCATGGAGCCCCAACTTCCCCAGCGTCGCTAGTTTTTCTCTTCTGGGGATGTTACCATGGGGGCCTGAAGAATGCCCTATACTATTCCTTAGGGTTCCCTATATGTTAATTATGCTGTACCGTAGTAATATTCCCCATAAGACGCCACTCTTCGAACTATCCAGACGCTCATATTGAACCCTTTTCATTCCCAACCAGGGAGTTTGAGCGCTCACTGAGGCCAACCAGCCAACCATTCCAATCACTGGAGCTGGATGAGGACTGGACCCTGGGCTTTAGGGTTTTCAGGGTTTTCGGGTTCAGGGCTGTGGACTTTGGTTGGAGGATTTTGGGTTGGGGGGTTACGGCTTTAGGCTTGTGGCAGGGTTTAGGGCTTGCAGCTTGAGCTCATACGCTGTGAGTTGTTAACTAGTTCAAGAAGGAAAGTATACTTTTGTCTCCCATGACACAAAGGCTGCTATTGTAAACGGACATGGACCCCACGGTAGTGCGAGTCAGCGTCGCAAGTAGTTACCAACGGCATATAACTCAGTAAATAGCACACTCGTGTGGCACACTGAAGAGCAGAACGTGCATTGCTTGTACCTTGGTTGCAAAAGCCACTCGGGCAGCTGATACTGATAATGCACATATTGTTGTTTGGCACTAACAAACAAACGTAAGCGGAAGAGTTGCACCACTAGGCGGAAATGAGACGGTGGTCGTCGGCATCATGTGTTCCATGGTTGGGTTTAGGGCAAGAACCCCTAGAAGTGTAAACAAGAATCCACACTTCACTCCTTTGACTTGGAGGGGGGTGTTGTCACACTGGTGAAGCCAACCACAACCCCAAACCCCAACCTGAACCCTAAACCCAAAACCCCAAAACCCTTAAACCCCTAAACCCTAAAGCCCTAAACCCCTATACCCTAAACCCCTATAAAGCCCTAAACACGGCATGAGCTGTCGTCAAGAGAGGACCCTTCTGCGGTGAAAGGGACGACGAACTCTGGAGAACATGCGCCTTTGTCAGCGTTACCCGGGAGTTTCCGAAAACTAGGAGTACCTTCTTTCGAGGTCCTTACAAGAAGGATCCTACCCTAAATTAGAGTACCATACTTTAGTACTGTTTGTCTGAAAGGAACCATTCTGAAATAAATGTTTATACTTTTTGCTATCTGGTTACTCACGGGCCACGAACCTCGACCCTGGTTAATTGAGGAACTTCAATTGAGTTGCCATGATGATGTTCTGTATACTAGGATGCCCAGTAGCACCCTTATTCCCTTTTTGTAGTCCTAGGTTCCTTATAAAGTTACCCAATACCAAAAAGAGAGGCCTTTTTATTCTTAGGTTACTGGCTAACCTAGTATAGTAGATAATACGGCTTCCTTGCTATGGTAATTTCAATCAACTCACTTATCCTCAGGCGGGATACAGGTTATATGGCTAGTAAACGACTATTTAGGTACAGTAACCGGAGCCCTAGGGGAACCCAACTACCCCTTCATCGGATCAGCCCCAGGTCAACAGGGGTGACCTTGCGTTTGGAGAGCATATGACCCTGAACCAGAAGTCTAAAAGCCTAAACCCACAAACTCTGCACCCACCAACTCTAAACCCTAAACACTATGCATGAAATCCGAAGCGACTGGGGCTCTCGCCGAGCAACAATCATGTATTCGAAGCATACTCGCAGTCTGGGGTCACCCGCTACCGACCCATCCTAAATCTTCATGGTGCCCTTATCGAGCCCTGACATAGCTGAGGCATATCAGGAATCCGGTGTTAATTAGCCCTAGACACATAAAGTTACGATTTAGGGTTTAGTTTAGGGTTCAGGGTTTCGGGTTCAGTGGTCACTAAACTATGATAAACAAACATCGACATCTCATGCGGTCATCTGCACAGGGCGGACGGGCAACAAGTCGGGTCTGCGACAGCTCAGTCTCTGACTCCGCCCCATCCTCGACACCATATGGTTGTCGGGGATGACGGGTATTTTGAACACTAGTCCCATTATCCTAAGCCCTCATCCCCAAACTATCTGCGAACCCTATGTGCACATGGATATACATGTGCGTGTGCACGCAGATGAATTCCACCGTCGACACTTTTGCTATATCGGAATGGTCGCACGAGCCTAGAAAGACAGTGCAGGCCCGACCCTTCTCCCTAAACCGACTTGGTAGTGGTAGGGTGCGCAATCTTCAGCATTCTTGACACACGGGAACCTTCATGTACTCCAAGGTCTATAACCTTTAGTATTTTGGGTATCTTGAGCTATATAGTTCTTCTAGAAACTGACGTCCTGGAAACGGAGGTCACACATCTAGCGGAAACCCTAAACCCGAAACCGAGGTCACAGAGCTAGACGACCTCTTGAGTGGCGTGACCGACCTCAGAGAGGACGGCGCGCTGTGACCTGGCGATCACCTTGAGGTGTGGTTTAGGGATCAGAGTTTAGGGTTTAGGGTTTAGGTTCAGGATTTAGGGTTTTTTGGGTTCAGGATTCAGGGTTCATCGTTTCAGTTTTGCACTATACTAACACACCATCTGTCACGCGAAGATCTTCTCGCTGCACATATCTTTTTACACACATACAAAATGCATTATGTGCAGTGGGAGAGAACACTATGGGTTCACGGTCTTGTTCAAACTCATTGCTTACCTTCGCTAGTCCATCCATGTCGGACGTTTAGCCTGTCTTCAGCTCAGGCGCTCTTCTCCCAAGACGGAAAAGATGAACTCAAACGACATGACGATATCGATGACCTCGGACCCCTGTGGGAGTGAGTTCCGTGAGAGCCTGACACGGTTTAGGGTTTAGGGTTTAGGGTTTAGGGTTTTGAAGCATATCTGGAGCTAGAAGATAGGGGCCTTGATAACTAGGCTAGGGCATTGGGCGATGTTGTAGTATGATTAGGAGAAGTAAGCCTAAGGACAAGTCTTGGTGATTGTTCAGGCTTCCATAGTACAGGGCTTCTTCTTGAGATTTGTTGCCTGCTCAAGGCTATGGGGCTCTCTGCAGAGGGATGTTCAGAGTCGGTCCTCCTACTTACATGTAGGCTTTAGACTGGTGTTACAGCTTGCAAGGAGTTGCTGCAGCTTAAGGTATAGGGTTTAGGGTATAGGTTAGAAGCTGCCCCCACCCTGTAATAGTGACTATAAGGATAGGGCCCTAATATATTCCAACTATACCACTATTACAGGGTGGAGGCAGCTTCTAAGGTATAGCGGATTTCGTAGGAGTTTAGTAGCATAGGTGTCGTTGACATCCTCCGTCTGAGGCGAGTTAATCGATTTTTTTCTGCATTTCCTGGCTTGCTGTATGAGAGTTTCCAAAAATTAGGGGTACTTTACTTTGGGGTCCTTATAGTACGGATCCTACTATTTTGGGTACTATATTAGAATCCCATATTTTCGGAAACTCCCGTATCAGCCTGAGTTCCGATATTTACACACGCCAAACCCTGTACAGATCTCATCAGAACCCTAGTAGTAGAGTAGGTAGCCTTTAACCTTTTTTGGGCAGTCTAGTCCCTATATAATCCCTACACAACCAAAAAGGTTAACCTTTAGTTCCCCATTATACTCGACAGGTAAGGAACCTGCATTCAACCAGCAGCAAATTATGCAATTAGACCCTGAACCGCAAGCGCTCAACTCCCCAAAAATTCTTGGCGCTCTTCTGGTTGGCTCTTAGGACTTTTACCTTTGGGGTTTCTACATGGGCTAAAAAGCAAGGCTGCAAGTCTAACTCTTAGGAGGGATTCAGAAGTCAGCCAAGAATATATATATATACATACATACATAGATATAGTGGCCCCAAGGTACCCATTCGGGGACTACTTCAGGGCCACAGTATAAACGATTTGGGTACATGAACCCTTAGGGACTTGCTTCAACCGCAAGCCTTGAAGCCTCGAAACACATCTTGAGGACAGTGCAAGCATCACGGATGACCTTCTGCACCCTGCCTCGATGCCCTAAACCTTGTAAAGTGGTACCTACTTGGAAGGGCAGGGGACTTAGTAAGTAGGTTATAAGTCGGGTTATAATTGGGGTAACTCCATTTAGGGTACTTATAACTCTACTTGTAACCTACTTACTAAGTCCGCCGCCCCTCCAAGTAAGTCTCACACCCTGGTGCAAACGGTAGACGCTGCGAGGAGGCTGCGGGCAGGTTTTCACCGAGCTACCCAAACAGCCGCCTGGCCATGATTTTTCAGGGTTTCGGGGGGCGTGGAGTCTGGAGTTTGTGTTGGTATTGGGGTGGGGCTTTCGGAAAACAGGGGACCCTAATATAGTACCCTAAATAGTAGGATCCTGAGAAATAAGAACCTCAAATTAGGTCCCCCGAATTTTCGGAAACTCCCCTGGTGTCAGGTTTCAGCATGGTGCCGGGCTGCATAGGGTGCCTTAACTCCGCAGGAAGACTGGCTCGCCTGCTGACGGGAAGTGCGGCCAAGTATGGACCACCACCCTCACCACCATCACCGTCACCACCATCATCATCAGCCCGGTGTGCACCACGACATGTATAATGGCCAACACAACGAACAATGCAAAAGCCTGAATATACTCCGTCTTGGTACATAATACTCTTGCTTGGGGCTCCTCTTTACTAGTGCAACATTTTGGCCCTGAGCCTTAAACCCTAAACCCCGAACCCAAAATCCTATTCCGTTTGTGCACCCCTGCATTACGAGAATTAATATAGGCGCCTTAATAATTACCTATACTATTTTTTGGGGGGGTTCTTATTAGCATTATAGTATAACGGCCTCCAAAACCCTTCTAATTACTCAGGCACCCATACTATACAACCCTACTGTAGATCCCTTATATTGCCCTGTAAGGAACCCTTCAAAAGGAACCCCATAGCCCTTAAAGAACCCCTATTAAGGACCCTGTATTAGTCGCCTCCTCATGCCTTTCAGGCCACCTCAAGGCGCAGGCAACAGTCGAGCAGCTGCCCTTTGGCCATCGCTTGTCTTTTGGGTGTCAGGGTTTGGGGCTGTTTAGGGTTTTTGAGGGCTCAGGGTGTTTAGGCAAATTAGGGTTTCGGGTCTAAGATTTGGGTCCGTTTAGAGGTTTTTAGGGTGTTCAGGGTTTTGGGTTCTAGTTTGAGGTTTCAGGGCCGTTTAGAGGTTTTTAGGGACTCGGGAGTTCAGGGTTTACCGTTTCAGAGTTTAGGGATTGCTGTTGAGATGTCGGGGACAGGACCTTAAGTATCGATCGGTCTACCACCTGTCAGTCGTCGCTCCCTCTGACCAGTCAGAACAGACACCCCTGACCAAGGCCACAACCTAAACCCTGAACTCTAAAGCCATGAGCCCCTAAACCCCAAACCCTAAACCCTAAAGCCATGACCCCAAGTTCGGCCCCTTTCGAGTTGACTGTGATCCGTGTTAGACAGAAGTTTCCAGAACCATAAACCTTCAACCCTGAACTAAAAGACACAAACACAAATATCCTAAACCCTCAACCCAAACTCAAAATCAAACAACCTAAGCTCGGATCTAGAGTTCTGGATTTAGGGTTTAGGGTTTGGGAATTAGTGTTTAGGGTTGGGGTTTAGGGTTTATTGGGAGTCTTAGTTCTGGAGCGCCCTCTAGTTCAGTTTTCGGGTGTCTTCAGTGGACCGAGGGGGTGGCAGGGGCGAGGTGTTTCGGGTAGGATGATGCGATATCATCCCCAAAAGCAGGACAAGTAAGAATAGTATGCAGAAAAGTTTATCGATGCCACTAACTCACTAGCTTTGTTATGATGCTTTGCACTGCAACAGCATCATCCCACGCTGCTGCAAGACCATGTGTGTTTTTTGGGTCTGCAGTGCCTCAGGGATGCTGTTCTACACAGTGCTTCCACATCGATGCATTGGTCCCTTAACCCCAAACCAAATGTGCCTGTATGACTTTACAAGCTGGGCTGTCGAATCTGTGCGAAGATGCAGGAAAAATCATGTGCCAGGTTCACCAACGACATACTTTGGGTATTGCCCCCACTCAGTAACAGTTGGATAATATTTATGATATAGATATATTAGGACCTAAATAGTAGCCCTATTATAGACTGTTACTGTATGGGGGGCAGTACCCAAGACATACTCACCATGCCAGCCGCCCCAGGACCACAAACCCTCAACGAACTCCTTGACCCTCAACCCTGAATCCTCTGCCAGAGGTTGGTGGACTCTGAGGCCTTACATCAGGAGTCACGAATATACATTCTTGAAAATTGTGTCTAGCTGCTCCTTGCATCTATGTTCAGTACAGCCCTGCATTATACAAACATAGACACTGCTAAACTTGCATGTGAAATTGTACGATCATCATGTTCAACATACATACATACATGCGTACATAGATAATCAGACAGGTAGGTACGCACCTACACACATACATACATACATGCATAAATATACACACAGACATACACAAATGCATACACATACACACAAACATCCATACATACATCCATTCTTCTATGTATCCGTCCGTCCATCCATCCGTTGATGCATGCATCCATCCAGCCATCCCATCCATCCGTCCGTCCATCCATCCATCTATCCATCCATCCTTGCATCCATGCACGTATGCATCCATGCATGTGTTCATAGCACATGCACATCCCCGTAGATATCAATGGACATAGACTTGCACATGCACATACACATACACAGACGCGGAAAACACATGCGTAGAGACATGGTTATGATGCACGTGCACATGCATATGCATAGACACATATCCATGTGCGCATGTGTGTCTGTATGTTTGTATGCATGCATACGTGCATGGATTTCAGTATCTGTGCATGTGCACCTTGCTCTTTTGCGGCCATGGTTTTCCAGGCTGCATCAAACTGCCGTGCTTTACCCTCGAGCGGTCTCATTTTGCCCGACCTCCCAATCGTTATGCAAAACTATGATGTTGATGGAAGCAGACCCGTTTACCCCGACCTCTCAGCGCGACATGAACGATGGAAGCGGACGGACGCACTTGACCTGACAAGTTGAAAGTGCACAAGACCTTGCAACAATCCCTAAACCCTAAACCCTAATCGGAATCCAAGCACCATCCGAGGTTGAGCGAGTACGCTCCGGGTCGCACGGAGCTGATGTTGATCAGGCGTCCGTCCGTTCTTCTTGCATTTCCCTAAGGGTCCATGTACCCATATAGCATATACTTGGGCCCAAAGTACCTATATAGGGAGCACTTTAAGGCCAATGTATATACTATATGAGTACATGGACACTTAGGGTTTCACAAGTTGCCACATGCAACAACAGTCGGACGTAGCTTTGAGGCCCCTTGAGCATGTCGGTTGTTTGCTTTCCGTCTCAGACCCCCCTGCTGAATGGTGAACCAAAGCGCGAGCAACATCCCAACCTGCCGAGCCCTCAATAGTACCCAGTGACTGCAATGCCTCTTACTTCTGGGGTTACAATCCTATTACTACTACGACCACGACTACGACAACGACTGCTACTACCACCACTGCCACTACGACACCTACTACGACACCTACTACTACTACTACTACTACTACTACTACTACTACTACTGCTACTACTGCTACTACTGCTACTACTGCTACTACCACGACGGCTGCTGCGGGTGCCACTATAACGGGGTTTCAAGGTTTCGCCTTTTTCGTGTTCGATTACACCTATCTTTGAACGAAGGGACTTCCATTCCTGCGGAATGAGTATGAAATTCCTGGATGTTGCTGGGATAATCTGCGAAGCAGTGTGGAAACCCTGTGGGTCCATGTGCCCAGGGCCAATGTACCTACTATATCGAGACTGAGGCGAGAGTATATACTATTTGCGCACGTGGACCCTCAGGGAAACACTATGAAATCTGTTTTAGCCAACCCTCAACCCTAAACCCCAAACCGTTACAGGGCGCCTGTACAGGCCTTAACAGCGTAGTATCCTTTATGATATGCACCTTCGTAAGCTGGGCTCTGCCGGAAAAAAGCTGCAGTAAAGTCAAGTAATTACAAAGTTTAGTATTTAGCGTTTAGGGTTTAGGGTAAAAACCTACACGGTGCTCATGGAGCCCACAAGGCAAAGATTTCTGTGGTGTCTCACCCCAGACCCGTAAACCCAACCCGCCTAAATCCAGAAACACCCAACCCAAATCCACAACCCCTCACCCCCTAAAACCCTTAAATCCCTAGACCCGTAAACCCCTCAACTCCTGAACGCCTCAACTCCTCAACCCCTAAAACCCTTAAACTCCCTAAACCCTCAAATCCTTCGGCCCCTAGACCCCTAACACCCTACAGCCCTTCAAGACTCTCATTGCTAGGCTCAAGTCGGGCCTGGACTACTTTGCCGGTTTTCTGGTGCTCATGAACTCCATGGTCCTTCTCCTTCAATTCGAGATGGAGGGAAGGCCGGTTTAGGGCTTTTAGGGGTTTAGGTCTTTCTTTTTTAAGTGGTTCAGGGTTCAAGGGTTAAGGTCGATGGAGCTTTGAATGGCTTTTATGAAGGTCTGATGATGATCAGGGCAAATGGACGGATTCCGATTTGAGGAATACACGCTTCTTCTAGGACCCAGAATAGGCCCTTGTTCCCTTTTTTTGGGTTCAGGTTCCCTTATAAGCCCCTTTAAACCAAAAAGGGCACCCTTTTTATTCCTAGGATACTCTTGGGTCTAGTCTTGGGTTTACTGAAAGAGTTTTGGACATGGAAGAACCCCAAACCTGTAAAGAGCCCTAAACCCTAAACCCCAAACCTGTAAAGGTAAGCCCGAAAGCCCTGCGAGCTGAACGGCCTTTCTACGATCCCTAAGGCTCCATGTGGGAGTTTCCGAAAATTTTGGGGTACTTTGTTTGGGGGTCCTTATAATAGGGATCCTACTATTTAGGGTACTATATTAGGGGCCCCTATTTTCGGAAACTCCCATGTAGCCACAGAGTAAATACTTAGGCCTTAAAGTACCTACATAGGAACCCCTTGAAGGCCTAAGCATACCTTAGCCCCAAGCAACCCACCTTTTTAAGGACTTGTATAAAGAAAACATGTTAGGGAACCCTAAAAGGGTAGGTTCCGTAGGGTCCAGGTATACTATATGGCTACATGGAGCCTTAGGGAATGACTCGAGGAGCGCAAGTTGTCAGGTCGGGCGCCCGGGGCTGACAACAAGATCCCGGAAGGTCGTTAGTAACCTGGAGGCCCCACATATAGTACCATTATGGAAATAGGTCCCCAAAGCCATTATATGGATGGTCTTTTGGGGCCTAATTCCATAGTGGTATTGTATGTGTTATGGAGCCTCTGGGTAAGAGCATCTCCCCCCCAAGTACCCTTTAGTACAGGCTTAGCTTACGGTCCTTTGCGCCGCGTAGGCTTACTCAAGGGTAGTTGGGGGGTGTTGGGCGTCAGATGTCGGATGTAGTTAGAAGAAGTTGTCCTTCTTGTGCTCTCTGGTCTCAACTTAGAGTGATGCAGACCCCAACACCTGAATACCCAAACCCCTCATTCTAGAAATCTATAAAGAGCCCTTGAAGGATACTAGCTACTATAGGGTTCTGTAGTAGGGTCTCCTTTAAACGAGACTCTTAAAGTGGGAAGATCAAGCAGGTTCTGCGTCCTCGCCCGGAGACATCTAAAGCCTATCGTAAGGCTTACCACACGGCCTTCATAATCAGTACCTATAGTACCATTGGCTCGACTTAGTAACTAGGTAGTAAGTATAGGTACAAGCACCCCCAAAATGTAGTTACCCCAATTCTAACCAGACCTATAACCGACGTGCTAAGTCCCCTGATCCTCCAAGTAACCCTCAATCCCTGAACCCTTATTAGCCCTTCGACCCCTGACCCCGACCTAAGCCTCTTAGACCTCTGGAAACCTGGGCCATTGAGCCCACAACTCTAAGCTCAAATGTAGCAGCCTTCACAATTAGAACAGAGCTCTGGGGTACACTACAGTTGTAGTTATCTTTGGGAATTAGCTCCGCGAAACATCGTAAATCGCTGATGCTGACCTTAGTGTTGATGATATAAAACCTGCATTACCTTAGTGACCCTAAACTATGGGAATTATGGTATAGTTGTTTTATCGGTTTTGCAGGATATGTATCATCAACCTAGACCGCTTCTAGAACCCTCAAAGAACTCCAACAGAACGCATTTGAATCCTTTCCAGAACTCAACCTTCATGAATGAAGGAGCTGTAACCGCTGGCCCTGTAGAGAACCCTTGTCGAACCTTGGTTTCCTGTAGAAAGGCTATATATAACAAATTATGTACAATATAATAAACTATAATCTTTCTATGTATATATATATATATGAACATATGTGTATGTATGTATATATATATATATATATATATGTGTGTGTCTAGAAAATAAGAACATATAATATACGACATAATTGATCTGTACAAACTACTCTACAATATACAATATAGCTAGGCCTGTAAGCCTCAGATGTTTCAGCAGCAGCCAGCCACTTAAACCCCCTAGCCCTAAACTCCTCTTAAACACCCTCCTAGACCTCTTTTAAGCCCCTCCCATCAGGACCGTTGGCCTCACCGTGGGTTTGTCCGATGGACCGGCATGGGAACAGGTGGGTTCAGGGTTTAGGGTTTCGGGTTCAGGGTTTGGGGTTTATAGGGTTCGGAGCTTGGGGCTTTGGTTTCAGGGTTGAGTCTTTCTTGAGGTTCAGGCTTGGGGTTTAAGGGCTTGCGGGTTCTAGGGTTTCTGCAAGTCAGCGTCTTGAGGGTTGAGGGACGGCTCTATACTTGTATGTCTGGTTCTTAGTAAGGAATGGGGAAATGGACTATGGAGACTATTATTGGGGAGTTTATACTATAGGGGCTACTAGAGGGGTCTATTCGCCATTCCCTACTAAGCACCAGCCGGCTTTTATTGTGTGTGTGTGTGTGTGTGTGCGTGGTTCAGCCCGGATGTTCAATGACTTTCTCGGATATTTGCAAGCGGACGTTGTCTTACAGTAGAAGCCCAAAAGTTGGAGACCCAATAGCCTCAATCCTTAATTAAGAGTAATGTCTAGGGAAGCCTAGCACCGTTTGGCCTTCATCCGGTTTCCAACTTCATGGGGTCTACCTGGAGGATCATGGGACTTAGTAAGTAAGGTTATAAGTACCTTAAGTGGGGTGATAAGTATAGTTACCCTAATCATAACCCCAGTTACTGCATCCCATGATCCTTTAAGTACTGTATTAGGATGGAGGAGCTCCGGATCGGGTTCAACCTTGAGGGCTGTGTGAGCTCTACTGTAGGGGCCTGAATCATTACCTATACGTTGGGGTTCCTTAACATAACTGTAGTATAATGGTGTAAGGGGCCCCCAAACCCTATTCTAATTATTAACGCCCTACAGTATTTCGTCTTGGCTCTGCAATTTGGTGTTGGCCTATCCGCGCCTATCCCAAGCATCCTACACTCCAGCAATAAGACCAATGACTACTATAAGCCTAGATAAACCTCCAAACCAAACCCCATCGCTGGGTTTAGGGTTAGGGTGTTTGTTTTTTTTGGGTTCTTGTTAACGGGACGTTGATGAATCTTTGTGTGGACGGAGTTTAGTCATAATGCACCTACTTCGTGTGAGTATCTAGGTAGGTGCGTCACGGTGAGGTCGGGTGGGAGGTGTTTCTTTTTTCTTCCACCTGACGTGAGAAGTAATTTTATACGCATGTCAATATGCTTGTCTTTGTTACATCATTTCGTTTTTGTTTTTTTTTGTTTTTTATTTTCTGTGCTTCGTTCGGCACCTTTGTGCTTTCTGTCGTTCTGCCTTTTATGTGCGTAACTATATCGTCCGTTCTACAGTATGTCATTCGCTCGTGCTTGCGTCTTCATGTCTGTCTTTCCCCGTGTCGGGGGGTTAGTAAGTACAGGGGCCTAAATAATTACCAATACTATCGCGGGGTTCCTTATTCGGATTAATTATAGTACTATAGTAGACTATACCCCAAAACCTTATTCTCACTATTGAGGCCCCTCTAGTACAGCTAGTCGGCATCTTGGTAGAGCATACAGAAGGTATCTGGTTTCGTTGTTTGGGCTTAGTCGCTGAGTAGGTAGCCTTTTACCTTTGGGGTTCATATACTCCTCTGGGCTTGGGAGTACCTTAAATACTTTTTCTTAAAGGAACCCCCATTATGACATGAAAGTTTATACTTCTTATGAACTTTTTCTCCCAGGTTACCAAGAAGCCCTAATTGAAAATGTTAACCTTATTTGGGCGAGGGTACTCAGCCCCTATAGAAATGAAAACGTGAGGTCGGTGAAAACGTTTTGGCTCCACGCCTCGATTGAGAGTTTAGGGTTTACCCATAGGCTCCATAGTAGTTCCTTTTTGGGGTTAACCCTTCTCGGATTCTAAATATCAACCCCCAAAAGGAACTACCATGGACCCTATATATGGGTAGGGCCACTCCAGCAGTCCGAGAACAGAAGCTGCCTAAAGTCTCCATTGCAGTTCCTTTGTTTGGTTATCCAGTTTTATGGTTAGGATCCTATAATAGAGATTTTTGTTATCCAAAAAAAGGAACTACAATGGAGACTATAGGTAAGAAAGGCGCAGTTTTTCCCCCTCGTGCTTAAACTACCAGAGTTGCTTGTCTTTACGAGCATTGTGTGTTTTTTAGCTCGTTAACCCTGAGGGTCCAAGTACTTCTATTATCAGGACGTTGGGGTCCTAACATTATAGATACTAAAGCCATTAAGAACGAGTACTTGGACCCTTAGGGTAAGTGTAGTGCGGAAGCCAGTCTCCACAGGTGATTCCGGCGCTGCAGATTGCCGCGGACCTATCTTTTGTGGGTGTTTCATATACTTTGCTGGGGGTGGCACTAGGTTCTTTTTTTGTGGGGCTTAGATTTAGGATCCTCTGTGGTAATCCCAAAAGAAACTACATTGGAGGCCCTAAGCCCTGAGCTTGAAGCAGCGCACCTGAGCTTCATCCACTCTGAAAGCGAGCCCCTAAGCCCTACGCTACTGGAGAAGAAATTCTTGGCATTCTTCTGGTTGGCTCTTAACTAGGACTTTAACTTTATGGTGGCTTCTATATGAACTATACTAGGGAGGCTAAAAGTTTAACTTTTAGCTGGGGTTCAGAAGTCAGCCAAGAATCCTTATAGTTCCCTTTCAAGGAACCATAAGGAACCCCTATAGATCTCTAGGAACCCTAAACCCACAAAAAGCGCTCATGCAGTTCACTATGGGGCACAAAGTCGGAAGCTGCAGTTCCAGTCTGAGCTCAGGGTAGCACCGAGAATACGGGAGTTGCAGAAAACCAGTGACATTTTGAAGCCTAAAGCACATTGTTTACATAATACATATATATATATGTATATATATATATATATATATATATTTATACAGTAAGATACAATATAATATCTGAGTATATACGAAAATCTGATATTCCTGGGTATCCCAGTGGCGATATGTTAACTTTTTGTGGTCCCAGGTTCCTTTTCAAACAGCCCGGTACCAAAAAAGGGAGCCCACTAGGGTTTCCTGTGATCCTAGACACACACAGATATATATATATATATATATATATATATATATATATATTTATATACATATATATATATATATAACCTGCATCTATAGAAAAAATAAATATGTGTATATATATATATATATATACATATTATATTATATTATATTATATTATATTATATTATATTATATCATATTATATTATTATATTATATTATATTATATTATATTATATTATATTATATTATATTATATTAATATTATCTCATATTATATTATATTATATTATATTATATTATATCATATCATATTATATTATATTATATCATATTATATTATATTATATTATGTTATGTTGTAAAGACAAAAGTTGGATCGTTGTTAAGAGCAACACCAAAGAACAACTCGGTTTGCTGGAAGAAACCTCACATCGCTCTCTTTGCTGGAAGAATCAAAGGGGAAAAGGAGGGACATTATATAGCTATATTAAGGGTATATACCTAGGGGTCCTTATTAAAGGTCCCTCCTTGTACCCTTGGAAAGAAGCCTTCACGTCGACGAGGTTGACATCGTCTTTGTCTTCATTTTTCTCGTCGAGTGGCTTATTCGGATATCTGTGGAGAGGCCTTGGCTCGGCTCAGTTTGGGATTTAGGGTTTAGGGTTCAGGTTTAGGGTTCAGGGTTTAGGTTTTAGGGTTTAGGGTCAGGTTTGAAGGCTAGGATTGTCGATTTATCTTTTCGGGGGGAGGATTTTCAGTCGACCCTAAGGCTCCATGTACCCATGTAGTAGGTACTTAGGCCTTCAAGGGGTCCCTATATGGGTACTTTAAGGCCTAAGTACCTACTATACGGGTACATGGAGCCTTTGGGCGAGTGGTTAAAGATATGGCGCTTGTAGGTTGCGGGGGCTCTACTGGAAGGCTCCTGGGCCTTAGTACGGTTCGAAGTAAGGTTCTATTCAGGATAACCCTGCTTAGGGCACTTTTAGCTCCCTTTTTCACCCTGAGTACCTTAGGTAGGATCGGCGGTTTAAAGTCTAGGGTTGCGGCTTTACGCGGATCTTCAGGACTCGCCGTCCCAGGTGCTGATTTGCAGTGGGGCTTCAGCGGTTTACCTATAGTCTCCATTGTAGTTCCTTTTTGTGGTTAACCAATCTCCATTCTAGGATCCTAACCATAAAACGGGTTAACCAAAAAAGGAACTACAACCGAGACTATATGTAGGGTTTACGTTTCAAGCAGAGTGGCTTCGGGAAGCAGTTGGCGGCCAATCCTTCGGAAGTTTTTCAATTTTGCCAGTCCCCCAAGGGTCCAAAGGATCCAATAATTAGGTACTCGGTTTCAGGATGGTAGTTATGTAGGTTAGGAATTTGGAGAGTATATGAATATTTGGTACTTGGACCCTTGGGGATCATGCTTGAAGGCATTTGTGCTGATTTGTGCAGTCTCGTTCTCGCCAATGTTACCAGCGTCATCATCACTTTGACAGTCAGCACCATTATTTATTATCAGCATCTACAGCATCACCATCGTCATAGCCATCGCAAGCATCATCAGGTTCTTTCTCCATCATCACCGTCATCATCACCACCGTCATCATCATGCTTCGCTTCTTCAGCGTCATCTGCAGCAGCATAACCCGCACTATCGTCATGATCACCATCGTGGCCGTTCATCACCATCGTCATCTTCGTCTTAAGGAGCAGCATTTGCCTCTTCCTGCTGCAGTCAATGTCCCCTCCATGGCCCTCACTTGTGGCTGCAGTACGCAAGCCGGAGCACTCTGCACAGACCGTGCATCCTGCAATACTGCAAGAGCTCCAGCACAAGTCCACTGCGAGCAAGTAGCTCAAACAAAACATGATCACTCACAGTCCAGGACTTGCAAAGGACACCATTTTTGAGCGTAAATCCTCGATTTGCTGCAGGTGGCAATTCGTGAAAGACTACGCTAATCTTTTTGATACCATCCTTGTCCTTGGTGGGCTGGTCGACACGCGCCCTTGACAAATTTAGTTCATGTAACTACCCAGAGGCTCCATAGTAGTTCCTTTTTGGGGTTGCCTTCTAGGATTCTAAATATGAATCTCATAAAGGAACTACTATGGAGCCTATGGGTAGTTCAAGTCTCAGATCCCGGGACATTAGCTCTAAGTGAATTGGGGCGTCCGACAGACGGCTTGATCCGTAGTTTTGCCACTGTCAACTGTAGCATGCAGGCCAGCTTTGTTCAAAGGTTTCAAGAACAAGATTTCGTTTGCATTGACGTGCAGCTTCCGACAATGTCGTTGAGACTGCTGCAACGCCGTGCTGAAATTTAGCCAGAGCCAGTAACGGATGCGACGCTGATAAGGCTCACCAGTTCGTACCATCACCAACCGTCATGACGTTTCTTTGCATGACCAGTGACGATGACGACGACGATCGTGCCGGAGAGTGACATGACGGCGACAAAAGCGCTGTAGACGCACCTTTCGCAGCTGGTGAGTTCTTGTGGTAATGATGGTGGCGATGAAGATGTTGCAGAGAAGGCTTGTGTACATGATGGCGGCAATGACGCTGGTGGTGGTGATGGTGGTCATGATGATGGTGATGATAGCATGATGATGATCATCATCATCACCGTCATCATCGCATCTTCATCATCATAGTCATAATTTCATAAATGTCCAAAGAAAACGCTGCGTGATGAAGAGCATGAAGATGTAAGACGTTGATCACTGTAGTGGTAGAGGTAGTGACGGTGGCCGTCGGGGTGAGCACTGGCACTGTTCATAGTGGTGCTGATGCTGATGGAGGTATGAGATTGGTACAATCAAGCAGTGTCAAGCCCATTGGTAACAAGGAGAAGTGAACATGACAAAGTCATCGCAACAGACGTGAGCAACGCTGGGACAACGACAACAGCACCAGCATCAACAGACGACGCATGTTTTTCCTCACGGCCAAGACCCTAAGTGTACCCAAATAGTATATACTTTGGCCTCAAAGTAGTCCCTACATAGGTACATTCGTGCCAATCTATCTGCTATGTGGGTACATGGACCCTTAGGGTGAAGGCAAGGTTTGTACCACCACTTATTTGCTCACCCCACCAGCCAACTCCTCGAGGGCTCCGCATCCCTCTGGGCCGCTGTCTGCTTGGCAATAATATAGGAGCCTAAAGCATTGCCTGCAGTATTTTGGGGGCTCCTCATTATAATGATAGTATAATGGACTCCCAAATCCCTATTCAAGGCCCCTATCTTAACTACAAGCACCGGGGAGTACTGCCACGATAGTAGGGTTTGGGCTTAGGACTTTAGGGTACATAGTGATAAAACAGCATCTAAGCAGCATCGAAGCTCTAAGCAATGAGGCCCTGGATGTTTTCTGTACGTTCCGAGTAGCGCAACTGGTTCGGTGAATTGCTTTGCTCGTTTGTTGTCTTCTGCGTTTGGCTTTTCAGTAGTGTTTCTTTCTTGGGTTCCTTCACCTGCAAGTCATGCATCGGTCCCAAAGGCTCCATGCACCCATATAGTAGATACTTAGGCCTTAAAGTACCTATATAGGGACCCCTTTAAAGGCTTAAGTATCTACTATAAAGGTACATGGAGCCTTTGGGGGTGGCAAAGGTACATCAACCTTGCATTTGTCGGGGAGACATCAGCATCGAAAAGCGGCTTGGCCGACTAGAGAGTTGCATCGGCATCAGGGATCTGCTGTCGCGATTGATTTTATGGCAAAGACAGCTTGATAGGCGACGATCACTGCATCCGGGTGGGGCGCTTTGCCTAGTGTGTTGTGAGGGTCACTCTTATTGCTGACTGTTGCATGAAACAAGCAGCACTGCTTCCCTATTTTGGGGACCCAAAAAGTAGATAATCATAAGCAGTTTTTAGGGATATCCCCACCTTACTGGGGTTCATCATGAGCGGGGTTATGTGGGATGTTTGTTTTGGGGGCCCTACTGTCACAAACCCTAAACCCAGGCATTGTCATCCTCCGGCTGATGCGAGCCATGAAATCTTTTCGGGCCATCCGCGGCCCTATTGCACCAAGGGATAGCGAGAGTAAGGTTAGGGTTTCGGAGTTTAGGGGCTTAGGGTTTAGCGGCATTTGTGGTTTAGCTCTGGGGTAGGAGTTGTTAGAGTTCCAAAAATTCGCACTGGATAGTGTGGTCAGTTTTATGTCTTACGCTCTTGCCTCGTCTTCGTTTGGTTCGCGTTTCACGATTACAAATCTAATCAATTCAGGCGTTGCGTGGGTCCGGGTTGTACTTGAGCTGCTGCTTAGACTCTTGCCGGCGACCAAATGGTTGTGTTTCTGCGCATGTGCAGCATGCAACTTGGATACTGTTCGCTTCAGATGCTTCGAGAACCGCAGGAAAGGGTTGCCGTGTGATTCCATAACATGTAGGTGTTTTGCCCCCTGAGCACTAAACCAACGATGCTTGTAGACTTGCACAGCTTCAACTTCTCCATCGGGCGCATCAGGTTCCGGGCGCGCTGACGCTGCACGGTAAAAACTCCATAGTCACTCTATCCATAGGCTCCATAGTAGTTCCTTTTTGGGATTCATATTTAGAGCCCTATAGGGTAACCCCAAATAGGAACTACTATGGAGCCTCTGGGTACCGTGCCCTCAACTCAATCGTCTCATCCTTCCGTCGTGAGACTCGCTGCCGTTCATCCAAAACTCCAACCTTCGGGGCTGAATAAGTAACCATCAACCATTTGGGGCTTTTTAAACCCTTTTGACCCTAAGGCTCCATCGTAGTTCCTTTTTGGGGTTCATGTATCGAATCCTATAAGGTCATCCCCAAAAGGAACTACTATGGAGCCTCTGGGTAACTCTACTATAATTCAAAAGGTCAACCTTTTGTAAGCAATCGGGCCCATTCAAGAAGAAGCCCTTGCGGAATGCGGCTTGCTGCTCCAGCATAAGACTCGATGGCATACCAAACGAACAAGACAAGCCCCCCGACTAAGCCGCTGCGGTGTTGCAACTACGACAAGCCCAAATTTAAACAGAGCACTGTTTTTGTTTTGATTTTTTTTGCGGCGTTGTCTTCCCTGTTCGTCATGAGTCATCACTCTAAGCCCTGCATCTTGATCCTACAAGTAACACTGGGCCGTAAACCCTAAACCCATGAAGCCTGCCCCTGACAAAACACAGATGCACAATCGCCCTGTAACGCCGAAGCCCTCTTCCCAACGGTTTGTAGGGTTTAGGGTTTAGGGGTTTGAGTATAGTATAGAGTTTAGCGTATTTTTATTTCAAACCAGTAGTGTTGAGTCAGTCCGAACCCCACCTGTAGTCTCCATTGTGGTTCCTTTTTTTGGTTAACCAAAATCTAAATTATAGGATCCTAACTAGAAAATTGGTTAACCAAAAAAGGGAACTACAATGGAGACTATAGGCGAACCCCAAGATCCAACCTAAGACTCAACACAGGAATGGTGCGCAGCTTGCGGTTTTTTCGCGGTCTCCGTGTGCTGGTCAAGGCAAATTCTGTCGGGCAGGGACTGCCCGAGCCGTACATCCTGTAGTTTAGGGTTGGTTTGTGGAGTAAGCTTAGGATTTTGGATTTAGGGTGGGTGTAGGGTGTAGTGTATCTTATCCGCAAACTCCGAAACTCCACCATAAACTACCAGAGCCTATTCTTGCTAGTTACTATCATGAGCACGAATATAGAATTTATCGGGACCCTTCAACAACAATGTCGGTTCTGGGAGGTTACACTAGGCTATAGCACCTGCAGACCCTCGAGCCTGCTGCTCAGGCGTGTCAATGTTTCTTGCCTTCGTTGTGCTGGTCAATGGTTCTATTGCTGATTTTCATGGCCATGGGCGCACTTATGCTTGGAAATCTCCTGCAGAGTTTCGTTGACGATGATGATCAAGATCTTGACGATCGTCAGTGGATCTGGATGCATTATGGCACTGCGTACCGTGCCCTCTATACTTTTTTTGAAATTACATTTGCTGGCGACATGCCTTGTCCAGAAATCTGTTTCCCTAAACTCTACACCCGTAAACCCTAAGCCCTAAACTGCTTGCTCTTTTTGTGGATAGACTGTGTTGTGGATCGACTTGAACACACCACGTCGAGAGCCAGTACAGCCACTACTGTAGCAATTAACATAATGGTCTGAATCTCCAAATCAAGTCCATAGCAGTATGGCACCCTTGTATGGAGGGCTTGAAAAGTGACCCCCTGTTTGAGAACTGCCCAAATATTCGGAATGAACATACCCATATTGTCTCTGTGTGCGTACAATACAACACACTCTTGAGGCCCCCATAACGAGCGAGGCCCCAGTATTTAAAGTGCCAAAAGCCTGTACAACATATGCCGAAACATTTCTGTTGCTTGCAAGGAAATTGGCCCACGAATACGCGGCCGGTGCTGGAGAAGGTTAACCACGGCTTCGCCATATTCTTCGTGTGCTACATTACACTGGTGGTGTTTGCTATTATTCGCGTTATCAGTGCCTGGTTGTATTGGTTGAGGGGTGTCTTTAGGCGTTATGAAGTAATATAGACAAGCGCTATCTATCACTGGGGAGCACTTAAACGACAAGCTGTGCGCTGTTGCTTGGGCTCAATCTAGGGCACTTGATAATTACCTACACTTTTCTGGGGGTTCCTTATGATATGTAACTTATAGTATAATGGGCTCCCAAGCCCTATTCAAATCACGGCCCCTATATTAGATTTGTCTCGACTGAGGCGCCGTTTTCCTGAAGGATACGCTGGACGCTGCTCAGAACGATGCGGAAGCACTGGTGGTGGACAAGATGCACAAGAAACAAGAGTTTGTGGTCAAGTCGCCCGACTGCCAGAAGCAACAGCATCAACAGCAACATCAACTGCATCATCAAAAGCACGCCAACAACGAGTACCGTACTGTTGACTTTTACTACAACTGCTACCCCAAGTACATGTAGTTAGAGGCAGCAGCAGCAGCAGCAGCATACTGCTACTGCTACTGCTCCTGCTGCCGCTCCAGCTCCAGCTCCAGCTCCAGCTCCTGCTGCTGCAGCTGCTGCTAATACTGCTACTGCTACTACTACTACTACTACTACTACTACTACTACTACTACTAAGACTACTACGACTACTACGACGACGACCACGACTACTATCTATGCTACTACGACTGCTGCGACTGCGACTGCTCGTGTTGCTGCTACTGCTGCAACTACTGATACTTGCACTGCTACTGCTACCTACGGCTAATTACTGCTACTGCTACTACTGCTTTCTTATTCTTCTGGCGGACCATTCCTGCACTAGACTTGGGAGGGTTTTGGGGTTGTGATAAGGGTTACCGTAAGGGTTGTTGTAGGAGTTACTATATGGCAGTTTCCGAAAAGAGGGGACCCTAATATATATAGGACCCTAAATAGTAGGATCCTTATTAGAAGGACCCCAGAATAAGGTACCCCTAATTTTCGGAAGCTCCCAAATGGGTGTAGGGTTTTGGGTTGCGAAGCCGGAGATGGCCATGCTCGGCCCGGAAACCAGCAGACCAGGACTTCCCCACTCCTTTCTGCATACCCCCATTTCTATATGGGTGGTTGTCAAAGTTAGGGTTCCTTTATGGGTACCCTAAATATTAGGTGCCGTACTGTAATAAGGACCGAAAACGGGACCCTAATTTTGACAACCACCCATATGGAAGATAGGTCGCTTAGTAGCTGAGGCAACCTTTAACCTTTTGGGGTTCATATAAGCTAACCTTTTGGGGGGCTAGGGCCAGGGTACGCAGCCTCTAAGGTTACAAGTACGGGAGAAAAGATGCGCGACACACATTGCACTGCACAGTGTATCTACCCATAGGCTCTATAGTAGTTCTTTTTTGGGGTTACCTTATATGATGCTAAATATGAACCCTAAACAGGAACTACTATGGAGCCTCTGGGTAAGGGCTCTGAGCGACGAGCTCCAACCCTAAGGGTCCATGTGCCCAACTGCGGTTGATGATACAAATCCTGCATTACCCATAAAAAGTAATATATGGGAATTATTGTATATTCCTTATTATGGGTCATGCAGGATTAGTATCATCAACAGTAGTAAGGCTTGAGGCCCCAAAGTCCATACTCTGAATGGTTTGGGGGCATCTAAGATCCTACTATTTGGACCATTTACGGCAAGCTTTCAGCCTGAACCCTACGCCCTGATTTTTTTTAAGCTCATGGTAGTCTATATGGACCCTCCAGGGAACAAGTGCGAAAAAGCACAGCAGAGGCGGTATTTCATTTCGCATTTGGCTTTCGGTGTGCCTGCTATGCACACTTTTTGGACTTAGCCCACTGACAACGGTTAGAGCTCGGAAATGCCACTCTTAATCGGGATAGCTTCCGTCACAAGCACTTTAGCTGCCTCCACCCATCAAGCAGATGCTCGGTCTCTGCACCCTCAGCTTTATAAAAACTGACACAAGGACAGTATGAAGCAGTGTACAAGATACGTGCTTTCATCTCCGCTCTTCGGTAATGTTATGTTGATGGTCTGGCGAAGCGCGTACGCCAGCCTACATGGTGCTTCTTCACTGCGGTTCTCTGTTGGGTGCATTTGCTCATGCTACAGCGTCTCATTTCTGGACCATACTGTATCAGGCTGCCAATGTTACACTTTGTGCTTGGTCGTTCCGCGGACCCCATGTGCTTGACATTCGTTCGGGACATATTGTAGTCTGCTGCTGTAGGTTAGCTGTGCTTGTGCATATGCCGACATACTGACGTATGCACATGTTCCGAAATCTGCATCCATGTTATGCATGATGGTGCATGATCATGTCCTTGACATGTGTGTGTGTGTGTGCGTGCGCTTAATCACACTACACAGTCTCATTTTGGCTACTTACTTCGAGTCTTATGAAGCACGCTTCGTGCACTACTGCCGTTGTGTGTTACAGGTGATCCATGATGTCATACCGTGTTGTGCCGTCGTTGGCATCGATTCCCACGGGGCCAGAAACTTTGGTTTTTAGACTATATGCGCCCGGCCTGCTAATTTTCGGATGCATTTGGGACTGCATTATTTGTAGGCCTGTGGGCGACTTTTGCTACCAGCAGTTTCAGAGCAGCCGCTGGGTTTAAAAACTCACCCACGTCGGTCTCACAAGCATGACCAGCCGAGCACGGCGAACCCGCAAGGTTTTGAGGCTTCTTTGTTCCAGCCACGCGCACGGGAATCGCAGATCTTTCTAGGACTCAGAGCCTTGGTGCTTTGATGTCCCCAGGCTTCTTCTGGCAATGCGTGTGTTTGCGTTAACTAATATAGGGGCTTAAATAGTTACCTGTACTATTTCGGTGGTTCCTTATTATATTTATAGCATAACGGGCCCAAAAACCCTATTATTAACAGCTCTGTAGGTTGGGACATGACTCTCCTGTTTGCTGCTGCTGTTGGCCGCTACGCATGTCGTCTTCACTGAGCCATGCATCAACTTGCATTTGCGACGCTGGTGCTCTAGAGTCTTAGGATCGAAGGCTACGAGCCACGAGCCAGTGAGCCGCCATCTCGACAAACAAGGCTTCCCATGGCCTGGATAGCGATTCGCGCACAACATACCGACCACAAGCCATTGTGTAAACCCGTGAATTAAAAAATGAAAATGCTTTTAACGCATACCTACCCATGAGGCGAATCTAAGACGATGCGTACATGTAAGAAGATCAGATATTTGGCTCCGCAGACTAGATTATAATAGTTTATTTATGGCTAGGAGTTTGGGCTATGTATGGGGGCTATAGAGCTGTCCAGTTACCAAATTGGTGGCATGACTGTGACGACTTGGCTCTTCAACCGGCTCCCGCTTGACTCTGACGTTGTAGTGGACTGGACCACACCAAGTTCGGCTGCATAAAGGAAATCTCGTCGAAGTTTTAGGGCGCGGTTGTTGGCATGTTTTGGCCGTGGCTTTAGGCTGCTGTCAGATCACAAAGTAAATGCGGACGTGTCAAGGGTTTGTCAGCGGGAAAGTTGGTCGGTTTTACCGCAGGGGCTGCTGTCCGACGAGATGACACATGGTTTGTATATTTGGGTTCACATGTACATGAATGGATGTTCCGCATTCGGGGAGGAATTCGACATGCGCGCATGCTGTGCAGGATGTATAGTGTAGCACGATGCGACGCATCATAGATATATTAAACTTGACGGGCCCAAAACGAAGACCAGCTGGTGAGCTGACGGTTCCGGAACTTACAGCATGTCCGGTGTTGGTACCGATGTGAAAGTTAAAAAATCCTGGTGAGTTTTGGTTTTGAGCTCGAAAGAAAGGACACAAATTGCGGCGTAGTTCATATAGACCGCCTGTATGAACGATCGACTTTTATAGTCATTGTAATCCTGAAGATACCACCGAGAACTTTGTCAAATGTTTTTCGGGCCCTTGATTAAGTAGGCAGTTTAGACCTAAACCGAAGTCAGCAGCAATCTACACACCAAACTCCGATTTCCGAACCATACTCAAGGTCAGGTTTATAAGCCTATGCCCTACAAGCGTTCAGCTCAGGTTGGAGGGCATCTTCAAAGCTATCGATGACACTGGTAGTGGCATCATTTCAGAGGCAAGCGTAAGTACAGCCTGAGATTTGAAGACTTTGGTTTCAGGGCCTTAACGCTTTCGGGTTGAAGATCTTGTCTACTTCAACTCTGAAGTTCCGCGTGCAGGTTTCGAACTACACTGGGGCATAAGTGCATGATGTTCTTTGCGTCTGCAAATGTCTGCAGATTTGACTGACACGTCAGCCCTGAATCTCAATTCAGCCATACGCCATACACGTGAAATTGAAGCTGCATCCGTTTCTTTCAGGATGCAGGGAAACACAGTGCCAGAGAGAATGAGGGGGAGGCAACAATAGGAGGAGTCTTCGGATTCAGAGAAGCAAAAACATCATTTTATTGAACGGTAGGTTTCTTCAATCTTACTTCCACAGTTCTACGCTCGAAGGGATGGAGGTCTTTGGAAAGCACGCTCGTGTTTGCATTGGGGGTGGTGAGGCCGAGGGGATCATAGCAAGCAGATGTCTGACAGTGATCACGATCCTTAATGGAGCCCCCAAGCATCTTAGATAAGGTTACCGAATGGTGACCTTCACACCCTTCCAGGAGAGACTCACCACGATCCTGTCGAACCCGAAGGCGGTCCTGCGATTGAGTTGAAGATTTCAGGAACGGAATGCTGTTGTTACTATGCGCCATGTGTGTGCTCAAATTGATCTTTTCGCTGTTGATACTGGACCTTGTTGCTGGTGGTGGAGGTGGTGGTGGTGGTGGTGGTGGTGGCGGTGGTGGTGGTGGTGGTCCATCTGCATGTCACGGGACTGTTGTATATGTTTGGTTCTTGTTGTTACGCTTGTGTTAGCCTTCGTCGGTTCCTCGGCCACGTCGGTAGTTCTATGCAGAGCAGAACCCACAAGTATGACAAGTATGATGGTCGATCATATTATACGGAGTGTTGCTGTAGTTCAAGATTAAAGTGTTTGCTATCCCGAGCCCGCAGATTGACCTCAGAAGTTGGTGTCAACTATTCAGAGGCTAGAAGAAATCAAAGGGAATGTCAGGTGGCGGCCTACTTTCAGACGATGGACATTGATGTCCATGAGGGGAAAGCTCTCTTCCACGTATTGCCACTGGGATGACAATGCACGATGAGTGCTTAGGGTTTCCACGTGAAGCGGGCGAAGTACGGATTGCCGGGTATCGTTGCGATTGTGTTAGACTAGACACTCGAATCAGACCATTAAGATCGTTTTAGCATTGACACGAGAGGTTTGTGATGATTTTTCTGACAACCACATGCCCCAAGCCAAAGCCAACGCCATCCACAAGTTTAGGGTTGTGTTATGGGCCGAGTTTCTCAAACTCAGATCCCAGAAGTGAGCGCTTGGGGTGTTCGGGCCCGAGCTTCGGGCTTTATCGCACGGCGTCTCGGCATCGTTGGTGGAGATGGCCCGATTATAAGCTCACCTGCCAGATTTGCTAACCACCGCACCTCGCCGATATGGATAATAACCCCGACGATCCTTCAAGTATCCTAAACCCTGAAGGCCTCAGCATGGCAAAATGAGCCACAGCCTTTACACAGCAGACACGTGCTTGCCGCAATGAGCATAGCAGTGCACGTAGCATGCTGCAGCATCCAGGAACAGCATCTAAACCGTAAAGGCTCTGAAGCTCTGAAAACCTCCGGCACGTTGGTTGCAGAAGACATACAGTTTAGGTTTGGGATGACGTTTTTGAAGCTGAAATCGTCCTTCAGTGCCTCAAAAGCATCTGAGGAACAACGGCGAAGGTGGCAAAACGGGACGGAGTGTTGGGCCCTACCCCCTACCTATAGTCTCCATTGTAGTTCCTTTTTTTGGTTAACCAAAATCTCTGTTATAGGATCCTAACCATAAAGCTGGTTAACCAAAAAAAGGAACTACAATGGAGACTAGAGGTAAACCCATGTGTCTTAAACTTTAAACCCCTACCTCTAAACCCCTGAACTCTAAATCCTAAACCCCTGATCTCTAAACCCTAAACCGAGTGGGTCTTATTCGACAGGTGCTTTGCGGCAATGCTGTTCAGGATGCCCACACCTTCCAAACCCTTAATGAATATGCCTTAAATCATTGTGGGGGTCTTACGAAAATTTGAGGTATATTCCTTCATTAAGGGATTTTGGAAGTTCTGGGTAGTGCGGGCTGCTCGAATTCTGGGGCCGGAGATTCGAGTAGAGTGCTAGGGACGGCATGGCAGGGTCATCAACGGATAGCTTCGTCTTCTGCTTCTTCATCAGCATTATGGGTAGTACGGTAGTACTCGTATCATCCAACGGCTCATCTTTTGCTGTTCGACCTTTGCGTAAGTATCGCTGTCGCTACCCAGAGGCTCCATGGTAGTTCCATTTTGAGATTACCTTGCAGGATTCTAAATGCGAACCCCAAACAAGGAAACACTACGGAGCCTATTGGTATAGGCTTTCTACATTTCGTTCATCTGACGTTTGATGTGATGTTGCCAAAGCTGGTCTTCCTCACAATGACCTGGTGGGCACACGGAAATGCGGGCATGTGGAAGCTGTTTTTGCCGTTGTAACTGTTGCATGCCTCACATGTTCTTCCTCCTGGCAGGTGGTGTCTCGCTGGACGAGTTCATTGACGGAATATTGAAGTGCCGCTTGAATTGAATCGCGGTCACAAGGCAATAAGCCTGGCGGTTTGCCTGACGCATATCCTATTTCATTCTGTGCCGTTTCGGCTATGAGCACTTGATCGCTTCTTTTATTTATAGTCCGGAACATGCAACTGAAAACTCCCACACCTTTTGACATCTGTTCTGTCTGAAATACGGGTGGTTTCAATAGCAAGGGCAAGAGCAACAGCAAGAGTAGGAGAAAGAGCAAGAGAAGCAAGAGCGACAGCAAGAGCAGTAGAAGCAGCAACAGCAAGACACAGAGATGGAGCAGGAATAGCATTTGGAGCAAGATCTAGAGCAAGATCCACCGAAAGTGAGAGTAGAGATAAATGAAGCAGGTGATGGTAGTTGAAGGTAACTGAGTAACCAACTTTGAAACCTCCGTTGCTACGGTCGGACCAGATCTCTGGAACCCGGCACCTGAACCCCAGAAACCTCGCCTTTCCCAAAGGCTCCATGTAACATCATGTACCTTCATACGGTTGATGATATAAATCCTGCATTACCCACAACAAGGAATATACCATAATTCCCATGGTTTAGGGCCCTTAAGGTAATGCAGGATTTATATCATCAACCGTAGTAGATACTCAAGCCTTAAAGGGGGTCCCTATATAGGCACCTTAAGGCCAAAGTATATGCTATATGGGTGGTTCGCAGAATTGGGGTCCCTTGTTGGGTGCCCTAAATCATAGGTGCCGTATTATAATAATGAGCCAAAAAGGGACCTAATTATGACAACAACCCATATGGGTACATGGAGCCTTACTTGGAAGGGCAGGGCACTTAGTAAGTAGGTTAGAAGTCGGGTTACAATTGGGGTAACTCCAGTTAGGGTACTTATAACTCTACTTGTAACCTACTTACTAAGTCCCCTGCCCCTCCAAGTAGGTTAGAGGGCCTCTACTTTAATTTTGGATGGCCTAAAACCGCAGACGCTAATTAAGCCCCAAACCCTCAAGAACCCAAAACCCTCAACTCTCCTAAACCCTCGGAAACCCAAACCCTACTTATTGGCTCATATGGGTACATGGAGCCTTAGGGGTTTCGCACAGGCAAAGGCCCTGCGCGTGCCATCGACCAAGTCGCTATGCACGCGGAGATCAAGGCGTTGGACATCAAATTGACGAGGCCACTAAGGGTTCCTTTAATGGGGATCTAGAAGGGGTCCTTTAAAGGGGATCTCTAAGGGGTCCTTTAAAGGGGATCTATGTGTCTTTGAAAGGGATCCATAGGGTTTAGGGATCTAAGGACTCATATATTAAGGCTTTTGGGCCCAAAGACCATACTATATGAGGCTTTTGGGCTTTGGGTTATTTTGATCTCTAGGGTACTATAGAACCCAAAGGGTCCTATGTACCAATTTAGGTGCTTAGGACCCTTTGGGGAGGCATCAAGAATTTCCGATACTATCTTGGGGTTCCTATCATAATCACAGTAATACTACCAGTGTTGTTCCGTAGGGTTCCTTATTACTGTAAGTAAAGTATGCCCAAAAAAACGCCCTCAGCTCCGGTTCTAGTTATTAAGGCCCCTACATTGCACCTTCATTCTCTTGGTGAAAACCCAAAAATGCGAATTCCAACAACCCCATGTCTATAATGTCTTGCCATGTCTATATGTTACGCACCCTATAAACCGCAAGCCGTTATCCCTCAGCCCTGGACCTTCTATGGTCCACCCCAAACTCCAAAACCGTAAACCAACCCTAAACCCTAAACTCTATGGAACCTACCTGTTTAAGGACTTATATAAAGAAATCATATTAGGGAGCCCTAAAAAGGTAGGTTCCTTAGGGTCCAGGTAAACCCTAGACTCTAAATCCAGTTGGGAGTTTCCGAAAATAGGGGACCCTAAGATAGTACCCTAAATACTAGGATCCTTACTATAAGGATCCCCAAAAGAAGGTACCCCTAACTTTCGGAAACAGGTTTAGGGTTTAGGGGTGATATAAAAGGGGTATCTATAAGTCTATAAGGGTACCTTTGAGGAATCCATAGGGTTTTAGGCTTTAGGGGTAAGGGTTGATGATATAGATCCTGCATCACTTTAATGACCCTAGACTTCGGGAATTATGGCATATTCCTTATTAAGGGTAATGCAGGATTCATATCATCAGCCGTTTCACTGCCAAACCATGACCGGCTTGGGTGTACGTCGGGCTTAAGGAACTTGCTTCGGGTTCTAAACCCTAAGGCTCCATGCACCCAAATAGTATATGCTTTTGGCCCCAATGAACCTATATGGGGAGTACTTTAGGGCCCATGTATATGCTATTTGGGTACATAGTATCCGCAGTACTTCTGAGCCTTGACCATCCAAAGCCTCCGAAACTCAGCGCAGGCTTGTTCGAACGCTGCCTGGCCGATGGTATCCTCAACAAGGGTTCAGCCTAAACCCTAAACCCTAAACCACCACCCTGACAGGAGTTCAGTCAGTTTGCATGTTTGTTTGCAGGAGCGTTCTCAGCCATCCGATTCTTGCTGCTGCTACCCGTAGGCCCCATAGTAGTTCCTTTTGGGGGTTCATATTTAGAACCTTATGAGGTAGTCCCGAAAAGGAACTACTATGGGGCCTTTGCGTAGTGGTATCGGTGTTGATCAGGCATCCGGTTGTTGTTGCTGCTGGTGGCATTGGTGTTCGCGTTGTTCTTTGGACGGGCTGCATGTAGTGCGTGATCGAGTTAGCCCTAAGCCCCAAATCGTCGAATATTCGAGGGTGCTCCTGCTTGTCACATCCGATTCCCGAGCAGCCTTTGCGGTTTGGAACTCCCCTAAACCCTGTGACTTTCCCAACTGCAAGTAAAGAGGCTTGATAACCAATATGATTCAGATTCCCTGGAGTCCCTTCTATATTATAGTCCTAAACCCATTCTAATCTGTAGTACATCCGAGGCTCTAAGGACTTATATTTCGTTTCTTTTGGGCCCAGAGACCATAATATGCGGGGATCTTTCGCTATTCTGAGTCTTAGGGTGTCGGGTTGGATGTTCAGAAGCCCGGAACCCCAAACCCAAACCCTGTGCCCCTCGGTGTACATAACCTTAACCCCAAGTAACCTACCTGTTTAAGGACTTATATAAAGAAATCATATTTGGGAGCCCTGAAAAGGTAGGTTCCTTAGGGTCCAGGTAAGGCTATGGAAGCCGTAAACAGAAAAACCTCGACAGAGCGTGAAATCGTAGCCCAACCCTCAACCCGATGCTGCGACCTAAAGCCCTAGGGCCCTAAAGCCCTTGAACGGCCTAAATTGTGAACGGAGCCAGGGCAACTCGAAGGTCTTGTATGCATGAACATAAACCGAAACCTAAACCCTATGGGTACTTTGGGGCCACAGTACTTACCATCTGGGCGCATAGACCTTACGATTTACCGATAGTCTCCATTGTAGTTCCTTTTTTGGCTAACCAAGTTTCTGGCTAGGATCCTATAATATAGGTCTTGGTTAACACAAAAAAGGCACTACAATGGAGACTTTTGTCTTTTTGGAATTTGTCAAGGCCCTACCGAACCCTAGACTCCCTGAGGCTCCATGTGCCCATATAGTAGGTACTTTTAGGCCTTGAAGAGGTCACTATATGGGTACTTTAAGGCCTAAGTACCTACTATGTGGGTACATGGAGCGTTTGGGACTTAAACCGTCCCCGAAGGTTCTTGTTAAGCTTTCAAGTATCTGTAAGCCCCCATAGCTACTGATCGCAGTCCTTGGCAAAACTTCCACAGGCCCCTCCTTTTGGGGCTTAGAGTTTAGCCTGACCCTAACCCTAAAGCTCAAAATAGCCTAAAACCCTTATTGCATAGTATGGTATTTGTTCCCGAAAGCCTTTGAATACGAGTCCGAAGAGTCTTAGCTTATGAGTTTTCTATAGTCTCCTAAGGACTTTTTTTGTTCATATTAAACCGAAGAGAATATTAAGATATTTTTTATTATGGTTCTAAGGGGGGTATAGGTTTTAGAGCCTCAGACTAACCCTAAACCCTACTTGGAGGGGCAGGGGACTTAGTGAGTAGGTTATAAGTAGAGCTCCCCAATTATAACCCTACTTAGAACCTACTTACTAAGTCCCCTGCCCCTCCGAGTAGACCCTAAACCCTAAACCCCCATAGATCCCTTTAAGGATCCCTTCAAGGAGCCCTTTTAAGTCCCCTGCCCCTCCAAGTAAGCCCTAAGCCCTACCTATAGTCTACATTTTCAGTTCTTTTTTTTGGTTAACAAATTTTCTGGTTACGAGTCTAAAATAGAGATTTTCGTTAACCAAAAAAAGGAACTACAATGGAGACTATAGGTAAACCTTCAAAGGCTGGATAGTGCCCACGTCATCTCTGCCTCGCGCTCCTTCGTGGACAGTGGCAACATGAAGTCTGTCGCGGAGCACCTTAAGGTCGCAAAGGGTCCAAGTATCATCATGGTATATACTTACAGGGTATTTTGGGGGTCTAAGTATATACCATAGTGATACTGGGACCCTGTGGGGGTCGCAACTGCCATAGGGTGTTGGGTTGAGGGTTTAGGGTTCCGTAGGTTTTGGGGCGTATGCGGTTTTAAGTTTTAGGGTAGCGCAGATAGTCACCTGAATGCTGCCAGCAAGCATCTTTGTGTTGTTTTTTGTCGGTTCCCATTGGTCCCATAAGTAAGTGTGACTGGCGGTTCAAACATTTTCGGTGGTGGTGGCGGTAGCAGTCGTAGTTGTCGTCTTCGTAGCAAAGGTCAGTCGTCGCAGCACTAGCACTAGCACTAGCACGAGCACAAGCACTAACAGTAGGAGTAGGAGCAGGAGCAGGAGGTAGGAGTAGTAGGAGTAGTAGTAGTAGTCGTCGGAGGAGGAAATACTGGGAGCTGTAGTAGAAGTAGTAATAGTAGTAGTAGTAGTAGTAGTCGTCGTCGTCGTCGTCGTCCTCGTCGTCGCAGCAGTAGTAGGAATGGGGGGATAGTGCTAGGACTACTGGGTAGTGGTTGTGTGGTTGCTGTTGCTGTTGCTCTTGCTCTTGCCTGTGTTATTACTCATGGTATGGTTATTGTTATTGTTGTTGTTCCTGCTTGTTCTGCTGTTGTTGTTGTAGTTGCCGCAGCTGCTGCTGAGACGATTGTTGTTGTTGCTGCTGTTTGTCGCCGCTGCTGCTGCTGTTGCTGTTGCTGCTGCTCCTGGATTCTGCTTGTGTTGTGATTGTTGCTGTTGCTTTTGCTTCAGTTGCAGTTGCTGCAGCTGTTATTGTTGCTCCGTCCTAGGACGTCGTAGAACCGGCATGATCATTGACATAACTAGGGCCATGACGTGTTCAGTTCCATTGGCTCCATGGCATTGTGGTCAGCAGGCGCCGCTGCAGTAGCAGCTGAAGTCGCGTCAGTCAGGTTTGATTATCCCTAAACGCAGCGCAGCGGAATTAGTGGCATTGGAAGTGCTTGCAGCCTACCTGAAGGTAACAGTGCTGGGATTCTGCAACGGCCATGATTCTAAATAGTGCGCATATTCAGACATTGGGTCGTGATTAGCATGGCCGTGCTTCATATAGGGGTTTCGGAAATAATCCCTAGTAGTAGGATCCCGATTATGAAGCCCTTGTTTTATGATCTTTTGCCAGGTCTTCCGCATGGATGAGGCGCAGACACGTCGTCGATTGTCTTCGACAAGCCTTACGCGCTGACTGTAAAGCCAGGAATCGTTTGCCGGATGTATATTCCTATTCAAGTGCTGCAAAGCCAGAAGCTGTTTTCCCGTCTCTGCAAACTATCTGCATTCTGAGGTTGCCGTCGGTTGTATACACATTAAACCCTACACCATAAACTTTAACCCTAGACAAACATCGAACTGCAGCTGAGGTGCTTGTTTGACGTGTTTCTCGTTACCGAGATTTAAGCAGAGCCCATGGTAATGAGATGTTATATGCCCAGGGTCTGCAGAATGCAACATGTGGGACCTAGGTTCTTTCGCTTTGCAGTGGGCAGAAAGCCTCACTACGGTTGATGATATAAATCCTGCATGACCCATAATAAGCAATATACCATAATTCCCATAGTTTAGGGTCCTTAAGATAATGCAGGATTTCTATCATCAACCGTAGCACTGTGCACCGAGACCTCCAAGGCTCTTAAGGTATTTGTTGTGCCTCCTTCTGGCTAGTTTCGGATGGCACAAATTGATCCTAAACCCTAAGACCCTAAACAGTTGAACCCTAAACCCGAAACCCTCAAACCCTCAAACCCTAAACCCTAAAGCCCCCAGAGCCTAAAACCCTAAACCCTAAAATGGCTCCGGGCCGGACCATGGTCTGGGCCCATGCAGAGCTGAACAGAGTTACCTAGAGGCTCATACCCTACCCCTTTTCTTGCCTTTGGCTAGTGGGGAATGGAAGAATGGGGTACAATTATAACTACTACTACTACTACTACTACTACTACTACTACTACTACCATTCTTCCATTCCCTACTAACCAATGGTAAGTTTTTCAAGGTACCTGGTTTTCAATATAACAGGTCCTAACCATAAGACTAGGTATCCTAAGAAAAAGGGGGAGGGCATGACCCTCTAGGTACTTGGCAAGCTGTGCAGCCGGAGGTCTGGATGCCTGCTGTATGACAGTACTGTATTCTTGTTAAGGACTCAGTTCAAGGTACCATAATAAGGAAACTGTATTATTCACTATTGATCCCTATTACGGTAACTTAGACAGTGACCAGTTCCTTAACAAGAACACGGTGTATGACAGCATTTGACTGAAGATCACTTGCCAATGCCACGAACCTGTGGACAAAAGACCACGTCTGTGGCGATTAGATGTCGTCATAGGCCCCTTTCTTGCGAGCTGCCGTGTCTCTAGTAGAACATCCCCGGAGGTGGTGGCACTGGGTCTAAACCTCTCAAGCTTCAGGGGGGACCCTTCTGCCCATGATCGAGTTCAATTGCCCACACCAGCCAGAATCTACCTAGTAGTAGAGTAGAACCTTTTCGGGGTAGTATAACGCTATATAACCCCTATATAATCAATAAGGTTAACCTTTAGTTCCCCATGATACCCGACAAGTAGGTCTCGGTTTGCTGGTGTCCAACTGAAGCATTGAGAACTGGAGACTACAAGCTGACGGCGCACAACGGGTCACAAGTTTCAGCTTCAGGGTGCTACTGTTGATGGACAAAATCCTGCATGACCCTAAGGACTCTAAACTATGGGAACTATGGTATATTCCTTATAATGGGTAATGCAGGATTGTGTCCATCAACAGTAGGTCTCGGATTTAGGGTTGCTCTGGGGTTTGTTTGGGTCTCGGGCTGCCGCAACCCTACTTGAAGGCTCATGGGACTTAGTAAGTAAGGTTATAAGTAGGTTATAATTAGAATAACCCCACTTAGGGGACTTATAACAACAAATATAACCTATTTACTAAGTCCCATGATCCTCTAAGTACCCTAAGCCCTAAACGCTATGCACGATTTCTGCAGCCATGTTGCAGGAGCCAAGGGCTGGTTTTGTGCTTAGAACGGTTATCATCCCCCATACAATAAGAGTCTATAATAGGGCTACTATTAAGGTCCTACTATATCTATATTCTGAATCTTATTCTATCATGTTCCAGGGGTGGTTTAGGTTGGTAGGTTGGTTGGTTTAGGGTTTAGGGCTATGCGCATTTGGTAAGGTTGTACACAGAGTGTCATTGTTCGGAAACGTGCACTGTAAGGCTTTTGTTGCGGAGGTTGGCTGCAGAAGCCATCAAGCCATTGCTTTTCTGCAAAGCAACAGCAGTCGCCAGGGTGCATGCCAGCCATGAACATGGAAATGAGAGATTCGCCAGGAGGCGTTAAATGGCAACTGGGCGGAATAGCTGCAGCTGTAAAGGGCAGAAGCTGCGAATGTTCGGATCGTGAATAAAATTGGTTTTCGGGGTTCCTTCGAGGACTCCTTCAAGGGCGCTGTAAAGGGTTGTATAGGGGCATGAGTTCTCTTTCAAAATTTCAATAGGGTTTGGCGTACATTATATCATACAATATGGACCTCACAGGAATATTACTACTATTACTAGCTATTCAGACTGTTAGTCATTGCACTCTGCTTCTTGCTGTGAATTGGGATGATGGATTTCAACCCTAAACCCTAAACCCTAAACCCTAAACCTTTTCGGCTTACTACACTTTGCCATCCTGCACGGGAGTGGGATATCGGCGCATGGTTCTTTCGGTTCCATAAAGGGTCCATGTACCCATATAGGGTTCCTTTAAGGGTTCCTTTAAGGGTTCCTTTAAGGGTTACCCTAAGGGTTCTATAAGGGTTCTATAGGGGTCTAGGGTTTAAGGGTCCATGTACCCATATAGCAGACACTTTGGGCCCAATGTACCTATAAAGGGAGTACTTTAAGGACAATGTATATACTATAGTACATGGACCCTTATTAAGGGGTTGTTGTGGTTCAGCAGGGTTTAGGGTTCAGGGGTCAGGGGTTTGGTTTTTGTCTTAAACACTCCCCGCCTCTTCCCCCGTCCCCCTTGAACAAACGTAGTGCTTGCTACATCGACGGGAGGTCGCAAACCCTCAGCAGCCACCAGTAGTTGCCGTAAGTCACAATGGTAGTCACATTAAGGTCCAGTCCCTCCATGCTCCGATTAAACCACTGGTCCAGTCCCTCCATGCTCCGATTAAACCACTGCTGGTGGGGGTGAGGCCAACCCACACCCATGACACGTAGATCCAAGTGGCAGGGGACTTAGACAGTAGGTTATAAGTAGAGTTATAGGTACCCTAAATGGAGTTACCCCAATTACAACCCTCTTATAACCTACTTACTAAGTCCCCCGCCCCTCCAAGTACCATTGTGCTTTTGACCATGACATCCCACAGAGGCCGAGCACGCCAGGTTCAGCGGGGACGGATGCCACTGAGCTTCAAAACGCCTTTCGAAAGCCGAAATTATGGTTGTGATGTCTCGTGTTCTGCGCTTTGTTTTGTTAGGTTCTTCAGGCTTGAAATGGCTTAGGAGTTTAGGGTTTAGGAATCAAAAATACTATCACCCTACACCTGAGAGGCTAGCTCTCTAATCCTGACCCTATTCGGCCTTAGCTTCACTTTAAGCTTTCAGCCACCATGAATCGGTGGTGCACCATGAATCGGTGGTGCCTCGTTGAGGTTCTAAACTAGACGCGAACTCATAGATTGCGGTGTAGGCAGCAGAAGTCGGCACCATCTGGCCTGTCGTACGATCTCAGAGAAGCAAGGAACGGCAGGGTAGAGCTACCTGTTGAACAGTGGTCTTCATGAGTCCTACTAGTAGCACTCTGTGCATTCTTTCAGCCCATTTGAGACTTGAGGTTTTTTGCGATCCCTCCTAAAGCTGAACTGATGTCGTCTCCGTTTGGCAAATCCCTGAGTAAACCATTGCGCACTCTATGCCCAACCCGAGAGCTTAAACTCGAAACCCAGACCCTACGTCCTAGACCCAACTTAAGACTCAACACAAAAACTTCGTGCGGGTGAGAAATACAGTTGAACCTCCGTGATGTGAATCTTTGGCTAACCCTGCGAAAGTCTTCCAATATCTAGAAAGTCCCGTCGAGAGCTTAAATACAGACCCTTAATTACGAGGATCGGGGAGGAGGTGAGGGACCATATATTCTGAAACAGGTCTTTTATTTGTCAGGCTAAGTGGACGCGCTAACTCCCCCGAAGGGTCCTAATGATTACATGGCACTGAACCCTAAAGGCCCCGGCACCCTGAACCCTTAAGGCCCCAAAGCCTTAAACGCCTTAGACTCGAACCCTACTTGGGAGGGCAGCGGACTTAGTAAGTAGGTTATAGGTAGAGTTATAATTGTGGTAACTCCATTTAGGGTACATATTACTTATAGCTCTACGTGTCACCTACTTACTAAGTCCCCTGCCCCTCCAAGTAAGCCCTAAACCCTAAACCCCATAGATCCCTTTGAGGAACCCTATAGATCCCTTTAAGGAGCCCGCGCCTAGATCCCTTTAAGGAACCCTATAGATCCCACGCTGGCTCCGAGAAGGCATTTCTGAACCTCATCTCAGAGGAACATCTGGCTCTGATGCAGATGGCTGCCGGTCATCAACAGGCAGGTTGGTGCTCCCTTAAAGGGGTCTTTTAGGGGAAACTATAAGGGATCTATAAGGGTACTATAATGATAGGGGCCTTCATGATTAGAATAGGTGTGGTTTTTGCTTTCGAATTCAGGGCGAGCTTGGGGTCTTATGTATGAAACCCCCCAGCCCTAAGCCCTAAACTTAGTACCGCAATACCCATCCTTTAAACTTGTTGGGTTCTTATGGATTCGTAGTAGCCGGAAAGTTTAGCCTTTCATTTCTGCGGCTTATTGAGGAAGTAAGTAAACTCCGCAAGCCCGAACCCCAAGGGCCCAAGTACCTAATTATCATCCTAAGGCCCCTTCGGGTTATTACCTAAACCCTCAACCTCGCCTCTTCCGAGCCTCTACGGAACCCTCGGGACCCTTAGGGGTAGCCCTAGGCCCTAAGTCCCCAAAACAGGCGTGGGGACTCCGACTCGATGCAACCTTCAGCAAGCTGGCAAGCCTATCCAACGATCCTCGGCCGAGCCTGAAGTGCCAGGGTTTAGGGTTTTAGGGGCTTAGGATGTATGGGTTTAGGGGTTTAGGGTTTCGGGTTTGGTTTAGATGAGTGTCAG